GTGCATAAAATGCAAAATAAATTGCATTGCTTTGCAGTTTTTTTGTTAGTTTTTTTGTTAGTTTTTTTTTATTTTTATTTTAAGTAAGCTATTAAAAATTTGTTTTGAAAAAATGCGACACGCCTGTCTGGATCGAATTGATGGAGGAAAAAATTTGACTGAACTGAACTGGGTTCTATTTTTGGTAATTGTGGCCTGCTTTCAATATGTTTTTGTACTTGTATGCGGACCATGGCAGCCCCCTATTTTTCCAGGGTCCGGTTCCAGTTCATTGCAGATACACATAGATTGACGGAAGGAGGGGGGGGGGGGGGCGTGGCAATAGGCTAGAACGGGGGGCGGCGGTCTATTTTCAACGACAAGATTGTGGGTCAAACATGCGTTGTCATCGGAGAAGAATACAACTTGCACACATGTGTGTAAATATGTATGTACACATACATCAGCTTATGTATGTATGTATGTTTATGTATATATAACAATTTTTTCAATCAGGCAGCAGCGTAAACAAAATACAAGCAACAAACAATCCATTAAAAGTTCATTGGAGACGCGCCCATTGCGGGGCATCGAATTAATTAAAGCTGCCTCACTAACTCAGCGAGAGAGAATGAGAGGGAAAGAGAGGGAGAGAGAGAAAGAGAGATAGCATTGGGAAGTGGGCAGCGAAGGGTGAAAGCTGCATCACAAGATTGAAAGAAATTGTTTTTTATTATTTCTTGGAAAACGCAACATATGAAATAACTTATAACAAGTAAAAAAGTAAATGCATTTAATTGATAGCGACCATGAAAATACCCTGTGCTTAGCTGAATTTAAGAAATGAAAAAAGAATAAACAGTTTTAATATTAATATAATTATTTTTTTAACTTTTACCATGCTCCGTCAATTTATCACGTTGCGGAAATATTCAAATCTTTGTTACATGCATTTATTAAGCTCTTACTTTTATTTTGGAAAATTATAAAATCATTGATGTCAATGAAACATAAGTTAAAACTTTTCCACACAAACTATGAGCAGTATTTTTTTTACCAAGCGTTGCATTTTTGCATTTTTGATGCGTTTTCAGATCAATTGGTAAACAAAAATTGTTCATACGAGCTCTCTTCCGTGTTTATTTCACACTTGCGGGTGGAATTTTCCAAAAAACTCGACTTCTGACAGCTCTTAAGGTAGAAATAGTACAAGATCTAACTCTTAAGGGGTGTGCTGTAAAAACAGTCAATCAGTTAGTCAGTCATTCAGTCAGTCAATCAACCAGGCAGTCAATCTTTTAGTCAGTCAATCTATCAGTCAATCAATCAGTCAATCATTCAGCCAATCAGTCATTCAGTCAGTCAGTCAATCAGTTAGTCAGTCAGTCAGTCAATCAGTCAGTCAATCAATCAGTCAATCAGTATAAACAATTATTCGCTGCACCCATACACCCCATATGCCACTTGCTTACAGGGTATTCGAAACATAAGTCAAATTCTGCGTAAGCCGCGGCCAAAGAATTCTTAAAAGTCGAGTTTCAGCGTGCGGCCCATAAGTAGGCGCAGCTACAGCTTGGCCCATGAACTGGGTGTGTGTGTGCGAGTGTGTATCTGTGGGTGTGTGCGAGTGTGTGTATCTGTGTGTGTGTGTGTGCGTGCGTGTGTGCGTGCGGTCATAATGAAAATAAATTTGTTTATGCGCTCACTTTGTTGGCTGGTTAAAGAAAGAAGTTCTTTGTTTGCCGCTGCAGTTGAAAGTTGTTGCCGCAAAGAATCAACACTTTTGTGTCACGTAGCAGCAACATGCAGCATGCAGCATGTAGCATGCAGAATGCAGCAGCAGCCACAACACACGGACGCATTTATAGTTAAGCTTTGTATAGGATGCAGCACCTTGCCGCCCACTTGAAGTCGCTTAAATGTAAAGCTAATTGGCTGCACTTTGGCCCCATTGGCCGCATGTGGAGCGAGATAATGAAATGCCCGCAGCAGGCAGGCGGGCAGGCGGGTGGCATGCAACATGCAGCATGCAGCATGCTTCGAGTGCCACTCAGCACTAAATGCATGGCTAATCATATTATAGATAGCGATATGTCTTTGTGCGGCACTTGAATAGCAACCGCTGTGGCCCTCATCACGGCGTGGGCGCAACATCAGCAGCAGCTGCAACATCATTATGCCCCATCCCCATCATCATCATGATGATGATGATGTTGAGTTTTTATGGATTGGCGCCTTTTGTTCTATGTCTATGGCTTTATACCTTTATTAGTTTGCTTTTGTTTGTTCAATTTATGAACTGAACTCTCGACTCCATTGAACTCTGGCTTTGGCTGCAGTTGCAACATTAACAAACACACACACACACACACACACACACACACTCCACATACACATGCACAGCATACAGAAAACTTGTTTCTCTTCTGTTAGTCTTGTATTGTTTTTCTCCAGTCTCTCTGTCTCTCTCTCTTTCGCCCTTTCTCTCTCTGTGTTGTCTCTGACTGTTTTGCATTTGGCGCAATGCTAATTCATTTGCATACACAACAACAACACTCACAACAACTGTGTGTGTGTGTGTGTGTGTGTGTGTGTGTGTTTGTGTGTGCCTCATTCTCATTCATGCCAAAACTGCTGCCAACTTGACGGATGGCCCCGGCATGCTTGGCTGCATTTTAAGTTCATCTATTTGTGGCATATTGCCTGTGCCCGACTCTGACTTCTCACTTCTCAGTTCTCATTGCCCCTCTCCAGTCCACGCCCCCTGCTTTCTACAGCCCTTCTCTTCTATATATATATATATATGTATATATTCTCAACTCCCTATTCATTGCTATGCTAGGCAGTAGACGGAACGAGCTGTTCAATTAATTTTGCTGCCCATTTTGAAAACAAACAAATTGGCTGCAAGTGCGACTACAAGTTGAGACAAGTAAAAGTGCTCGAGTCAAGAATGCTCGACTTCAAGATACCCCACACAGCTAACAAATAAGAAGAAGAAAACAAAGAGCTTATAGAATTTGTTGTATTTAATTGTGGAGCAACTGCTTGCAATTTGTCACGTTTAGCAGGCCAGCATATCGCTTCTTTATCGCTTTTTTATGAATAAAATGTAATATATTTGCAGAGTTTTGATCAAGAAAGAAAAGAAATGCATTTTTTTCTAGCCTTTTATTTATTAAGGGTCGTGTCTTCCTAATTATTTGATTCATATTATTTAGAGAGTTCTGAAGATTTCATAGATTCCGACTCATTTTATTCTCTGTAAATACGCTCTATGATAAACTTCTTTTTATATCCATTAAATTTAGTCGGGCTATAAAAATGCAATGAAATGAAATATCTTATAGACAGCATTAAAAACTTCCATGCATATCGCTATATTTATGTTAGGTGCTATCCCAACTAACGTCTCCAGCTGTGCGGATAATTCATCTGTGGCTTTTTCCTCCTTAGCTCAGCTTGTTGCGTTTATCATTAATTGCCTGGTTTGGCCTGGCCCGCGGCTCCAACTGGTATTTTGCTGTGCGCGTTGACATATTTAATGCCTCAATTAAGTCGTTTCCAATTTTTTATTAGTATTGCACGCATCCTAAGTCATTTTGCCACATTCGACCCATCACGAATTTGAGTACTCGGGGCGATATATGTGGCCCCATTCGAGTGCTGAGAATGTTTGTTTTGGGCACGGGACTTACAATGAGCTCCTCTATAAATAAACGCAGCCATTGATAAGTCTGGTTTAAATGGAATGCAGACGTCGTTAGACAGATTAAATGCAGCATATTCAGCGTATCAATGGAATTCATTTGCTGTTTTCTCTTCTGCTCGACAATCTTATCAAATATGACAAGTATTTATTCGCTTTTGATAAACAGCTCGCAAAGCATTCGCGAGAAATTCACATAAGACTTACAAATATAAATGCAAGTGAAAGCATGAGGCATGCTTTAAACATTTGGAATGTTGCATTTGGTTTAGTATCTTTAATAAAAACAATTGTCAATTGTTGCTGTCAATTATTGACATTGTTGTTTAGCTTTGATTCAGCAAGTTTAAGTCGTAATTTTACAACATGCAGCTGTTTATTGGAGAATGTTAGCAAAGGCATTTAAATATGTTAAATTAGTGTGCTGATTTCTTGTTTGTTTGGAACTTAGTCTAAGGAATTCCTTTAAAGGATTTGCAGATATTTCTTTAATTTAATTTCTCCTGCTTTTTCTGACTTCCGTCCTCTCTTTCTTTCTCGCTCGCTCTATCTCCCTCTCCCTCTCTCTCTCTCTCGCTCTTTATCTCTTTCTTTATTTGTTAGCTCTTCAATACACTTGTTCCTTCCTTCTGTAAGCTCTTTAAAGCCACTTGTTTTTGTCTTCTCATATTTATCGCCTTTCTCTGCGATTTTCATGAAGTCAAGTAAGTTATTTGTCTTTATCGGACTTGTCCAGCTGAAGCTTTTGTTTCAAATTTGAAACATCCACCCATTTTTCTAACCATTCCTAGTCCAAGTCAAAAGCTAGGTCTTATGAAATGCTGTCAATGATTGCATACAGCCGGAAATGGATTGGACAAAGAAAGCTAGAACATATTCTATGTTTTAAAAAAGAAAAACAACAAAGGTTCAAAATATGTGCTGCCCACTTAAAGCTTTTGTAAACACTCGCATTTATTAACAACTTTCCATTTTCATGTTATTCACCCAAAGATCAAACCGATCAGGCGCTAATTTCCACTCGAATATGCTTTGGGAGAGAGGGCGGGGGGAAAAGCAACATCAACAAATGTGGAAAACAGTTGTTTATGTTAATTACGTATACGTATAGCAGTTGCTTGGGCATAGTTTTCTTTTTGTTAAGCCTATGAATGGTCTACAAATTGTGGTTGGGTGACCCAATTGGCTATAACTATCTGTATCTGCATCCCAATGATAATTAAGCACTAACGAGGCGAGACCTTTATGCTTATATAAGTGACACATCTATTCATAATTCTCATAAATTTGATGCCTTGCTTCTCTTTTGCAGATGACGTAAACGACAACAACAACAACTACAACATAAATAACAACAACAACAAAAATAAAACTACAACGAGTCGAAAAACATTAATTTGATCAACCCCTGCATCGAGCAGTCTTTGGAATTGTTTAACGCCCCGTAACGAATAACGAATTTTGAAATTGTATTCCATATCGAAGTCGGTTTTGGTCTATATAGATTATGAACCTAGCCATTATGAGGTCGTCGGTCTTATCAGCGAAGTGCAATCGAGGCGCAACGTGGCCAATTTTATTGCTCTGTTTGCTGCTGGCGGCGGCGGCGGCAAACGCTGAGCGGGACTTCAATGTGAACGACTCTCAGGTGAGCGGGAGGAAGGGAAAGATGCCACACAATGCGCTTCTTTGTTGCAACTTCATTTGGGACTGCGGCCTGTCATTTGTCGGTTAATTTTGATTGATGATGCCTGACACATTTCACTTGAAAATGCCGACGAATGACTGCCGCGGCGAGTGCAACTGCAACTGCAACTGCTGCAACTCAGCATTGTTAACTTATTGAACTCTTGTGCGGGTTTCTTTGTAGGTGCCCGTCATAGAGCCCAAAGATGCGCCCGCCTACCAGCAGGATCCATATGTGACAGAGCTAATGCACTGCCAGCAGTCACAGCCGGAGATTGTGCTCTCGCTGCTCCTGAGGAAGCACGACTGGAGCGAACTTAGCCTGGCCAAGCGTGCGCATGTTCAAGCCAAATTGGCCAAGTTCTTTGCCATACCCAAGGTGAGTCTAGCAAGTGCCTGATTATGTATATAATTCTCATGCCATGCCCTCTCTTACTTGCAGGAATTCATTACGTTGGATTCGGTCTCGAAACGGGAACTGGGCAACATGCACAAGCTGGCCATGCGCAAGGGCGGCAAGGGCCAAAAGCATGTGGAAACTGCGAATCGTCGTTTGGGTCGCGCCAGTTTTATGGTAAGTCATTAAATTTGAAATTTACTTTGCGACATGGTGAATAAATCCTTGCCCGAAATCTTTGCAGATCGGCTGTGGCTCGAGTTACTTCAGCATGGGTGAGCCAATAGCCAAGCAGATACCCCACCAAATCAAGGATGGCACCATTGGCGCCCTAACGGAGGAGAACTTTGGCCTGTGGTTTATATGGCGCAAGGAATTGAAGTCCAGGTAGGGACTTGGATAGGAGTAAAGAGAGCGTAGCAGAGCTAGAAATGAGTGCATTCGTATTGTAGTGAATGTTTTGAGTTATTAACCGATATTTGCTTGAGCACATGATATGTATCTATTAATGCCAAACAATTGCTATTGATTAGCATTAGATAGTCAAATACTAAGCAAATGTTTCACGCCCAATTCAAATAATTGTAAATACCAAGTACTTGCGTTCAGCTCTGCGAACCGAAACATATAATTGGTAGCTAGTTTGTTAAAAATATTTTAATTCAGATAGATTCAAACAAGTAAGACGTTCTAGTCGGGAGCTCCCGACTAGGGGATACCCTGTACCCTCTTCTTCGAACATGCGATAGGTATAAAATGAAAGATACTTGATATATATATACTATTCTAGAAGCCACATGTCAAGTTTGGTGACTCTAGCTCATATTATTTGTCGAAATTGCTCAAAAAACTGGATTTTGATATCGATTTTTATCGATTACTTGGAAACTGGACAAGTTATCGAATATCGGAAACAAACTCGATCTGCGCGGGGACTAGGAGGACCTTCAGCTAGAATTTCAAGTCTCTAGCTCTTATAGGTTCGGAGATCCTTGCGTTCATACATACGCACAGACGGACAGACAGACAGGCGGACATGGCTAGATCGACTCGGCTATTGATACTGATCAAGAATATATATACTTTATGGGGTCAGAGATGCTTCCTTCTGCCTGTTACATACAGTGGCACAAATACATTATACCCTGTTTACCCATTTTCAATGGGTTCAGGGTATAAAAAGGTTGATCTTAAAACGTTGCCTAAGCAAATCGAATGAATGGCTTGCATTTCTAAAATCCAAGCACTTCGTTGCGAAGAGTCTTAAACAAAAACCCAATCAAGCGAATGTTACATTATAATATGAATCAAGTACTTGAATGGGCTAAGTTAATAACCGATACTCGTTTGAGCACATGATATCCATCTAATAATGCCAAACAATTGTTTAGTCAAATACTAAGCAAATATATGTGAGAATCCTAACAAATGCTTTCATGCTCAATTCAAATATTTGTAAATACCAAGTACTTGTGTTCAGGTCTGCAAACCGAAACATATAATTCGTATCAAAAAGGTTGGCACTTTAATAGGTTGCCCAAGCAAAGCAAATAAATGTCTTGCATTTCTAAATACCAAGTAGTTGATTGTCTTAAACAAAAACCCAATTAAGCGAATGTAACCAAAGTGGAATAAATCAAGTACTTGGTTGTTGTGTTAAACTCATCCAAATACAAAGCTGATGAGCGAGTGAAAGTGTGTACAAGAGTCTGTATTTATCTCTGATTTCCATTTGGTTAACTGGACTTGCAACCAAATGGAAGTTGACTTTCAAATATATATATGCGAGCACTCGCAAGACTGGTTGATTTGCTGTCACTGATTCATTCATGCTGCTTGCACTTGCAGATCCCAACGAAAGCGACGTCAGTCGGAGGGCAGCGGCGACGAGGATGACTACGACTATGGCGAGGATGACGAAGACCCGGCCGCGTAAGTATTACTCATGCCGAAACTTATGACAATTTTGACTAACTTTTTTACTATTTTTTCTTTTTCCAGTGAACTAGTCACGGTTGTGCCCACATCGCATGCGCATCGACATCACCATGGCGCGGTGAGTGTTCAATTTGAGAATTTGGAGGTTGTCTTTCTGGTTTATTTTTTCATTTTGTGGTGTTTTGGATTACCCGAGGTTTTAACTGTTGGTTGGATGTGACAAACAGTTTTATGTTATTATGTATAACCTATTATTATATATATATATATATATATATATACGACTATACAGACCAATTCGTTTAAGTACATTCGTTTATAATTTACGGCAGCTCATGATTATTATTATGTTTGTTACTGCACTTTGTTGATAACTGCAAAGGACACACGAAATTCCCACACACAGATCACAAAATACTCACATATACCCATATTTTATATATACATATATATCAATGAATTTTGATGATACGACTCTCTTTTAACATTGTGTATATGTAATTCATCATATGGTGTTCTCGTCTTTTCTTCTCTCTCTCTCGTTTTTTTTTGCCGTTTACATTCTCCTTTCTCAATATCTCTCTCTAACTCTCTCTCTCTCTCGCTGTGCTCATTTACTTAACTGTTACTGACATTGCAATATGAATGTTGATTATTCATAAACTAACAAAAACAACTCTAACAACAACAACAACAACAACCATCATGAACAACACACAACTAATCCGCAGTCGGAGCACGAGGAGAACCCGGGCATGGCCAGCTCCTCGGCATCCTCCTTGCCAGCTAGCAAATTGGACGAGGAAATCGAAGAAAGTGTCTCCAAATTGGAGTCTGTCATTAGCAAAACCATTGAGAATACCAAGAATATCAAGGAGCTGCCGGTGCTCAATGTCGACGATGATGTCGAGGACGTTGAGGATGTTGAGCTGCAGCAGCTGGGCCAGACGCCGCAGAGGCAACAGCTGGGCGTGCCCGCAGCGCCGGTGATTGTGGAGAATGAAAATGGGCTCGGCAATGAGCTGGAACTCAAAACGGGCCGCGAGCAACAGCAGCTGGAGCAGGAGCTGCAGCCAACCACAACAACAGCTGCGCCTGGCAGCAGCAGCAGTAGCTCCTCCATGGCAACGGTAAACCTAGACGCAGAAGACAACAACAACAACAACAACCAGGTTGACACTGCGGCCGTCGCTGTTGATGTAGCTGAGCACGCTGCAACGAGCACCTCACATACGACCACGAACCACAACAACAACAACAACAATTTAACACCTGCCACACCAGGCACACCTATGCCAGCGTTTGTCCATGCCCAAACCGAGTCTGAGTCATTTTCACCATACGATGCCAGCTCCTCCATGTCCCATCCAAGCATTTACTCCCCATCCTCATCCCCCGCGATTGCATCAACCATCGAAACTGTCGAATCGTCTGCCTCCTCCACCACCACCACCACCACCACCTCCACCAGCAGCAGCAGCAGCGGAAGTAATCCTGTTCCTCCTGGCATCACATCCCCAGCCACAGCATCAGCCTCCGCATCAGCTTCAGCCTCAGCCGCTGGTCCACCAAGCACACCAAGTGTCGTAGACTTTGATATGGCTAACACTCTCACAACAACAACAGAAACTGCACCATCATCATCTTCAACGTCATTATACCCAGCAACTTCATCATCATCATCACCAACAACAACAACAACAACAACAATTGCAACTATGCCAACAACAACAACAGCAACAACAACAACACAATCACAAACGCCAAAGGTAATGTCGCTTTTGTGTGTGCCTGAGTGTACGTATGTTTGTGTGCTTGAGTGTGTCTCTCTGTGCGTGTGTGTGTGTATGTATGTATCTCTTTATGTCTCTCGTTGTGCGACAATTGTAACTGTTGTTTAGCCTTTTATGTGTCTGTATTTGTCTCCTGTCCAACGCCGCCGCCGCCGCCGCCGCCGCCCACTTGCCGCTCAGTCGACAAGCTCGGCGCATATACATATATATAAAACTAGCTGTATACGTATATATATGTGATATATATCCTTGTGTTTGTGTTGTATACAAGTGTTGCATAATTGTTTAAATCGTATGTTGTACAACCTTGCCGCAGATCTAATCCCTAGAAAGTGTAAAGTTCCTTTTTTTTTGCAGATTTAGTTATAGAAAGTTCATCCTTAAAATCTAGAAATAATTCAAAATGAAGAATTATTTATGTATTCGAATTAAATTAGCTTAAATATTTTTATGTTTAGATATTTATTTATAGTTATATTTTATATATTTTGGTTTTAGTTACTTTATTTGTATTATCTCTTATATTAAGGGCTTGTGGTGAAGGTTTTACAAGGTTTCGGCTATTTCGCGGCTTTTAGCTATACTAACTTTTTGCACTGGAAAAGATAGAATATCCCAAAGCAATTCCTATAGTTCCCAAATAGATAAAAGATATTGTGGTCACAAATAGTATAGTATTATTATTTTCAGCAGTTCCTATTGAAAAACTTTCCAAACTCATGTAAATTGTTAAGAATAACAAAAAGTGATTAGTCTGTGAAAGGTTCTGATAATTATCAGTTATAATTGAAAAATTGCGTTATATATATATTTAATAATTCCCATTTTTCTATATAAACACAGCGCTTAGCGTTTTATACTAATTACAAATATAGAAAGACCTTTCGTCTCAGGTATATCGATTTATTATATTTATTTCTTCAATGTAATATTTCATATTTATAGCCCTTTTCTAAGATTTGCTGCCCCTTGTTGCTGCGCTTGAGCGAGTTTTCCTCTTATTATTATATTAGCTAGTTTTCCCGTTAATCAACTCCTGTCGAACCTGCCCACATTTATTTTCGATGACCTTTTTGTCCTGTTTATCTCATGAATTTCTGTTCTGCAATCCAAATTAAATATAACACAATAAAAATGCAAACTGCAGATAAATGCAAATGAGCTCGAGCCGAGCACCTGGCTGCCGCCAGCAACGGATGTGCCTGATGCGGATGTGGCAGCCACAACGCGTTTAACGCTGGCCGAGATCGAGTTAGTCGAGTCCACGACGACGGCTTCGCACGCGCACAGCACGCTCTCGATTAGCCCCAAGGTGAACTAATACATCTTCCGCCCAAACACGCTCTTGTATGCATATAAAAGTAGCTATATGTATAACATATATCTATATATCAAATTTAATAAGCTGCACCAAAAACCCCCCGCCAATCTCCCCCGGCCAGCCCAGGCAAAGTAAACCCTCGTGGGCCGCCGCCGCCTCCCATTGCCAACTAGTTAAGCCAATTAAGGGATTTCAACGTTTACGGCTAATGCACTTATCCTTTTGAAATGGGATGCCAATCAGCGCTGATTAACAGCGCAATCTCCTCGCATGTACACTTTTTCTTGGTATTGCATGAATAGTATATGTATCTGTACTATAAGTATCTTTAGCTATGTACCTGTATCTGTATCTGTATCTGTGGCACCCCCGTAACAACTCTGCTTGCCCTTAGCTCCACACTATTCAAGCATGACACTTAAAAAAAAAAGAAATAAAAGCGCGTCACTCCAATTAGCCAGTTCGTATGTCATTTAATGAGTTCTCTGTAATTCGCAGGCAGGAGATGCTGTAGACGCCCTCGAAGCCGCCAGCAATAGCAGCGTGCCCAATCTGGCCAGCAATGAGGTGAGTCAGTCATAAAATAAAACGAAACTAAACGTAAACTGATTGTTCAACATTTTATGCTTCAGCTGGCAACGTCGGCGTCGACGACGACCCGACAGCCGCAGCTGGAGGTGAGCAGCAGCTCGACGGATGCCTCCACGGATTATGTGGAGCTGCGGCAGGAGAATAGCGTGCCCATCATTAAAATGCGTCTGCAGAAGCTGGCTGTGCCGTCGGGCAAGTCGTTCAGTTTTGTTGTGCCCACGGAAACGTTTTTCGATGCAGAGGATCAAACCAATCTGCGACTGGAGCTAACCGACAAGGATGGCCACGAGCTAAAGCCCACATCCTGGCTCCAATTCAATGCCGATAAACGCGAGCTCTACGGCCTGTAAGCGGCTAATTTTAAGAATTTGAGAAAGTTATTTGAATATCTTGTTACTTTTCAGCCCACTGGACGATGCCGTGTCGCGCTGGCAGTATCGCCTCTCGGCCACAGATTCCGGCAATGCCAGCGTCACGGAGACTGTGGAGATCAGTGTGCAGCAGCATCGCGCGGTGCGCACCATCAATCATGAGATCAGCATTGCGGTGCGCATCAATGAGAAGCACGGCCACAACATCGACTGGCAGCTGGAGCTTATAAAGGCCGTTGCGCACACGCTGGAGGATGGCAACAGCTCGGCGCTGGTGGTGCGCGAGATACGACAGACGCTGCAGGATCCGCAGAGCGCCAGCTTTATCTACTTCAATGAGACGCTGCCCACCAGTGACTGTCCCGAAACGGAGCTGAATGAGCTGGTGCAGCGCTTGGATGTGCAGCGTTTGAATCAGCTGGTGCAGCCGTTGCTGAGCATCAAGTCTGTGATGGGTCAGCTAATTGGCGCTTGCCAAAAGACTGAGCTAGCCAAAATAAAGCCCACAACGCACATGTCCACGAATTTGCCGCCCATGCCGCGCAACCAGGTGGATCGTGTGAATGCCTCCGTTGGCCAGTTGCTCGTTTACAAGGTGCCCAGCGACACGTTCTACGATCCCAACGACAATGAGTTGACGCTCACGCTGAAGACCAAGGAGCACAAGGAGCTCAGCACACGCCACTGGCTGCAGTTCGATTCGAAGAATCAGGAATTCTATGGCATACCCAAGAGCGGCGACATTGGCACCGAGGAGTATCTGCTCATGGCCGAGGACAGCGGCGGCCTAACTGCCAACGATGCGCTCGTCGTTGTCGTCACCCATACGCCCAAAAAGGACTATGCCATACTGTACAAGGCATATCTGGCCATACGCCACGAGAACTTCAATGCGGAACTGCAGCGTAAATTTGTGGAGCGCATTGCCCAGCTGCATGGCGATGCCAATACCAATCAGATTTTGGTGCGCTCCATTACCACGCACCATGACTCGGATGGGACAATTGTCAACTTTTACAATGCTTCGCTGTATAAGACGCACAATCGCTGTCCCGACAAGGAGATGGCCGCCACGCGCAACATCTATCTGAGCAGCGATATGATGCCAAGTCTCAGCGTGAAGAAAGCACTTGGACCGGAGCTAAATCTGACCAGCTTCACGGTGGTGCCCTCCGGCACCTGTCATCGTAAGTGAAGCAACACGCTTGGGCATAGCACGGGAAAACATTGTAAATCTGTTTTTCTATTTGTTTTTAGATGCGGAGAACAGCGACATCAGCCAGCACGAGTACATACCACCGCGCACCAAGGAGCCGAGCCTGAAGCCAACCTTTCCCGATGAGTATTTCGCCACCTTCATACTGCCCGCTGTTATTATTGTGGTCATGATATTGCTGGCATCTATCGTAGCCTGCTGTTTGCATAGACGCCGCCACAAGAGCGGCAAAATGGAATTGGGTAAGTTTTAAAGTCAAATCTTTATATTTGCACTTGAAGTCAACATAATCTTCGAACTAATTGCAGGCGATGAGGAGGAGCGTAAATCGTTTCGGACCAAGGGAATACCTGTTATCTTTCAGGACGAGTTCGAGGAAAAGCCCGAAATAGGCAACAAGAGTCCAGTCATACTTAAGGATGAGAAGCCGCCACTGTTGCCGCCCTCGTACAACACCTCCAATATGAATGGTGACAACGATGTCGATGAGTATGTGCCACCGCCGGCTGTGGTGCTGGGTGGACGCGAGGTGCGAGGGAAATCACCGGCAACGCCCTCATATCGCAAGCCACCGCCATATGTATCGCCATAAATGTGTCAACAGCAGCAGCAGCAGCAGCAACAACAACAATAAGAGCAGCAACAACAACAATAATCACTATTAATCAATTCTTAACAAAAACAAAATGAAAAACAAAAACAATTTACAATCTTAATCAAAGATATCTTTCGCACCCTCGATATCAACGTTATCAACGTTAACTCAAAAGTTGTTCTGAATTTGAATTGAGGTGCAAGTCGACAGCCCCGCCCACAATTATGATAATATTTATGAAACGGTATTATGTACGGACACAACTGTAAAACAATCAATTAACGATTTCAATACGCGACTTGGCTAACAACTTAAGCTAAAACTAAAAAAAAAACTAAACATTTAAGTAAAACTAACTATGCTGCATATAATTTATCTAGTATGTACCTTAACTTATATGTATACACACACACACACACACACACACACCCACACACACTAACCCACACACTTTAGTAAGCAAGCGAAAGAGCTTGAAAAACACACACACACACACGCGAACCCTTTTATAGGAGCGCATTTAAAGCACGTTGAAACGCGGCCAGCCGCTGTTTGACCCATGCCCTTTGCCCAGGCTCGACCTTTATGTATCTAACTATTTATTATTTTTAGTTATTGTAAGAATTAATGTGCAGCTAACAGACGCTCGGCTTGAGCTATTTAAGCCGAATTGTTTGGTCCCTATTTTTGGCCAGTACCGTCCGAAGTGTAGCAGCAACAGCTCACCTGTAAAATTCTCTCCCCTTCAAAAGCTGGCCGCTGCCCAGGAAATTTCTATTTTTCGTTGAGGGGGCCAACACGCTAGCCACATTCTATATGCAGCTTGAACTTGTTGGCCGTCTAGTATTATATCATATCATATATTAACAATGGCAGTCACTTGAGCAGGGGGCATCTCGCTTCAATTTTGCATTTAGTTTTTAAGAAGCAATCGTTTTTATAATGATTAACTTTTTAAATTTATGCTATACTCGATACAGCTGCCAATTGAATAGTGAGTACGTTCACAAAATTAATTTATAAACAAACAAACAAAGAAACAACTACAAATCAAAATAATAGTACATATTCCGAATTCCTATAGTTGCCCCACAAGTGCTTCCTCCATACCACCAAAATCAAACCCAAAACGTAATGATCTACAACAACACACAGACAACACACACGAAAACACACACAAAGTATATCAAATCATTACTTAAAGTAGCCCCCCTTAGTTATTAATTGATTTTACAAAACCCTATATGATTAGAATATACACGTATTTATACATATATATATATACTTAAACTTAAAATTACTTGAGAAGGAACCATTTGAATTGTACTAAAAACTGCATATTTTAGCTATGTAGTGAGTATGTCCATTGATTTTTATATACGAGACCGTCATCTATGTAAGTTAGAGCAATATTTTGTCTGAGGAAAAAAAAAACAAATGAATGAAAAAACCATTATAAGAAACAAATTACTTAATGAACAAACGAAATGGAAAAAGGAAAGTTAAAGAAAATGCGACCGCAATGCGGCGTAAAGCCTATTAAATTAAGCATATAGCATATATGTACGATTATGTGTACTAAATTGAGTAAATTGTATAAGCTCATTAAGCCTAAAATATTTACACTGTATTTTGTAACAACAACAACACACACACACACAACAATAACGGTATCAATTTATTTTGAATAAAAAATGCCAAAGATAAATACTTTTTCTTAAGTTTAATGTTAATTTAAGGAAATTAATTGCAAATGTGCATAAAATTGGATAATTACTACGTTTATGTAGTGAGTGTAAAATCTTGTGACGTCACATTAGAAGCAGACGTCAAGTATTCCCAGATTATAATTAGGTCAGCCGCAACTAACTTGCCCGATGGCTAAGAAATTGAAAAATGATCCTTAACAAACCTAGCACAACCAACTTAATAAGCCAATATTGTTTTTGGCGTTGCCCGCTTGCTAAAACATTTTGAAAGGTACAATTTTCATATCTTAATTTCATGCGCAGCCAACTTAATAGGCCCCCGAATTGCCTGATGGAGTTGCCAGATTGCTGAGAAGCTTAAAGAGCTTGCGTTTATTTCGAGGTTCGTTGGTGTGGAAAACACACACGCAGACAACACCAAACACAAACACACACACGCTCACAGACACACCACAAGTAAGTACACAAACTGATAACTAAATACACAAATTGTTTTTAATTGAACCAATAAATGATAGCATAGAAAACTGAACTAGATACATGAAGAAATCACATAAAATAAACTAAATATAAAAAATAAAAAAAAACAATAATTGTGCATAGAAATTGTATGCGCTCTGATCATGTATTGTGTGTGTGCACAACCAAAACGAAAAATCAATTGAAAGCGAATTGTGGAAAAAGTGTTTATATATTTGGTAAAATGATTTGGCTACGTGGCCCGCCCCTTAAATAATTATGGTAATTATTAAAGAAAGACCTAAAGTCATTAACAAGAATAAACAAATAAATAATAAATGAATAAATTGTTTGCAATTTGTGAGCAAAAATTTAATTGCAACACACACGCGCTCACGCGTACATACACATCTATAAAAATTACTAATAAATATTTATATATATATATATATTTTGATATAAATAAAAATGCGTTTGATTCCATTTTAATTGATGTTTGGGCATATTGGAATTTTTGCGCTAATTTTGCTAATGAATGGGGATATTTCAATTTATTTAAATGCCAAGCCGGAGCCCAGCTGAAGCAAATTATGATATCAAATAAAAAAGCATAACACATAATGAAGTAATATAAAATTTTTGTTGTTGCCGTTGTTAGCTCTCACCTTCTAATCAAAGGACGTTGGGCCAAAAGTCGAATGCGTGTGCGTGTGTGTGTGCGTGTGCTCGGTAGAGATGGACATGTGGCGGGAAGAAAACTTCGTGGCACGACAGGTCCGTGCTGCCAAAATATATTTCGTGCGTGCTCTTCACTATCACAAAAAATACGATCTCTAAAGTCTGACTACAGTAAAAACTCGACTTTCGACTCAATCCAGTCAAAAAAAAATTAAATTTTATTGATGACAGACTGATCACGATATTCTTATGCTCAAATTTTGAACAAGAAGCGAATAATTTTGAACGTATACAGAGATTAGTCCAGCTTGGCATTCCAGCTAACTGTGTGACTAGCGAATGGAGTCTTTAAACATCTGGCAACATTCTTAATAAATATCGAACATGTCTAATGAGTTCGTGCTTCAAGATTTTTAAATTCTTATACAAATATATAAAGTAAATGTCATACTAAATGACAATTTAAGCCTTGTTTTTTTATCGTATAAATGAAATGCTTGAAAACCAAGAGAAAATAATTATGCCCGACGCGGTTAAGGTGGTCTAGGGCGGGCCTTAAGTGTATGTATGTTATGTATGTTTTGTATGTTATGTATGTTATGTATGTTATGTATGTTATGTATGTTATGTATGTTATGTATGTTATGTATGTTATGTATGTTATGTATGTTATGAATGTTATGTATGTTATGTATGTTATGTATGTTATGTATCTTTTGTATGTTATGTATGTTATGTATGTTATGTATGCTATGTATGTTTTTCTCATGCGTATATGATAAATTCATTTTCGTGTTGGCTCTTGTCGCATAAATCCGGCCCGCGCCCATCTCTAGTGCTCAGCGTGCCTCGAGTCCTGAATGTCCTGAGTTTATGCTATTGATTCGGTTACTTTGACAACCAATATGCGTTGGCCGGATCCTGGATGCTGTATGCTTACGTATACCCATAATACACACACGCACACTCGCACACACTTGGCTGGCTTCGCTGACGCCAGGCGTTGCCTTGTCTGTCACTCAATTCAGCTGTAATGATGGGTGGGTGGGGTGTGTTGTTGTTGGAGAGGGGGCAGCTGCCACTTCAGGCTGTTGTTGTTATTGTTGCTGCTGCTGCTGTTATTATTATTATTATTATGTAATGCAGTCATTTAATTGGTAACAAATTGTATTGTTTGGCTTGGCATTTCTTTGCCAGTTGCTTTTGTACGCTTTTATGACTTTTCCAGGAAACCAAACCTAAGCATTCAACAAAACACAACAACAGCAGCAGCAGCAGCAACATGGCATACCTGCCGCATGTATCCACCTGGCTGGCACGTACATATGTAGATGTATCATATATGCTTAAAGCATGTTGTTGTTACCTTTAATGCCAGCCCCCGCCCAAAGGCCTTGGCTCTGGCTGGGCATCCGTTCGGTCTGGGCCCCGCCTGTCAAAGCAAAACTTTTGCCCTGGCCAATTGTTGGCTGCCGTTTGTTGCTCTTGTTGCCCAACTGCAAAGCTTTTGAGTTCGACTGCAATACGCTTATGAGGCTGCAATTAAAAAGTCACCAACTATTTAGAGCCAACTGCCAAAGCGGCAGCAGGACATCAAATTTGAGCTGACAGTTGTTTCAGAGGAACCAAATTATCTAACTATTTGTCTGGCAATATGCGAGTAATTTGCTCGGATTGCATTCAAAGGTATCAGCACATTTCCCACTGATTGGACGGCCTCATCGCAGCCGCGAGAAGCGAAGAGAAGTTGCGAATGGACTGTGTAGAGAGCAGCGAAATGGGAAGTTGTTGGCTAAAGGATTCGGCATTTGGGAAAACAATAGTAAAGCTATTAGAAAAGCGACTATCGAAAGACGTGAGTTTTAATCAGAGAAGAGCAGAGAGAAGCGACAAGAGGAAAAGTGAGAGAAAAGTAAAAAGCGTAAGCCATGAGACAAGCAGAAAACTGTTAGAAAGCAATCAGAAAGTGATAATTGAGCCATAAGAGAAGTGAAGACAATCAGAGAAGCGACGAGACAAGTTATTAGCAAAGAGGAGAAGCAACGAGTTAAAAAACTCTACATATGATTTCTCAGGCTTCACAAGGGAATTGAAGAGAGAAGCAAATCAAAAAGTCCTACTTTCTTAAGCCTTACCTCTCTCCCTTAAGAACTCGTTTTGGTTCTGTATTTACTTTTTGCTTTGCTTCTTCACTTATCGCCTTATTTCACAACCCGCTTCTCGCTTCTCGCTTTGCTTATCGCGCCTTCCTACTTCATTCTCGTTACAGTCTTTGATTTGTATATGTACTTGCTTTTCGCTTGAGCTATTTTATTGTGGCTTTCATAACATCTTGCTTTGCTTCTCCCTTCGAATAAGGCTTTTCCTTAATTTGGAGTGTTTACCGCTCTTCCTAAGCTTTTCGCTGTTTCCTGACATGAACATAAGCTGATAATAGCTTCTTCTCCGAACTTTAACTTAAATATGCAGCTTTACGGGCCGTGCAACCTATTGCTAGAAACAATTGTAAACTAATAATTGTGGAAACTAATAACCTGAACTGGTTGCGATTTGCTTGCTTTTGTTTGTGTGTGTCAATCCAAATTAATTATATTGTTTAACTCCATTAATTTCTATGCATTTCTCATGTGAAAATATATATCACATATAGCGAACCGTGGTCTGGTTTTATCATTGCGCAACAGCTGGCGTAGAGTGTCCTTTTGCTTATGGCTATTCCCGGCGTTGCCATAACACTCATTATCGCTATCCTGGCCCCATTATGCAATGAAGCCTTTTGCAGCTCCATCCACTCAATTTTTGCCCCATTTGCCGTTTCAAGTTACCCCAAAACACAACAACAATTGGCGAGAGGGAGAAAGCGGGAGAGAGAGGGGGGGGGGGAGGGAAGGAGAGTGTATAATTAACTTAGAGTCTTACAAACCAGCCTTGTGGTAAGACTGGGTCCAGTGCAGCTAAAACTTTCGATGGGGATAAATACTTTCTGTGAAGCACACACACACAGACACACACCTACACACACACACACACACACACACAGAAAAGTGCTAAAATTGTATCATAATTTAGTTGGGGCAGCGCGTGTGCTGTGTCTGCAAATGGAAATCTCTTTTATATGCCATCGACTCGTTGTCCTTTGCTCCGCTTTCTGCTTTCTGCTTTCAGTGTCCAGGTATCTCGTCCGGTCTGCTGGCTTCATCCACACGCCCAAAAATCGCCTCTCGCACCTCGTCGCAAATGTGATTTCAGCTTTCTGAAAATATTTACTGCAACAGGCAACAAAAAAATCGTGGCATTTTTTGCGTGGAGCTTTGTTTTTGCCAAGTGACCAGCAGACAGGCAGACAGGTGGGCGGGCAGGTAAGCGAGCCCCAACCTCCAACCTTCAGGTCGAACTGTTTTTGCCACGCCTACTTCAATTGTTTGCACTGTCACAAAAGTGAGAGCAACCATATTTGTTGTTGCCAGCGCAATGAATGACAACCGGAATGCTCTACAAAGATAACAGAGTGCAAGCTGGGCTGGCAAGTGCATGTACCTGGACTATTTGTAGGGTAGACCGACTTTTTTGCTGCATATTGTTCTTCATTTTATTTTCTTTGCTGTGTTTTTTGCTTTACCGCCCATGGTCAAGCGGCAGACACGCCCATTTAAATGGCTGCATAGCTGCAGGTGATTTTTTTTTTCATATCAAGTAAACTAAACGAATTCTATATACACTATGCGATCGAAAGTAGTTATAAAAGCAATTAATAATATTTGATTATAATCAATGCTCTTTTATTTTGTTTCCCAGCGGAAAGGAAAGGAAGCGTATTGATTGGCATATGGGAATTAGTGTCGCCGGGCGGATACATTGGCGA